CCCCTCCACTGCTGTACTGGGGAGGCAGTAAGCTTGGCCCTGTTTTACTGCCCAAGGTGCATATCTTAGGAACCAAGTGAGTGCCAGTGCCTGTCCCTTGCCCTGTCCCACTGACCTGCCCAGCCCCCTGGACCCAGAAGAGGGCCTCACATGTCCCCTGAGTTTTCTGACAGCAGCTGTCCCTGTGCTCCAGGCCTCTGGTTGTGGCCTGGCAGCTGCTGGGGTTGCTGGAGGAGCAGAGGCCACACAGCCGGGGACACAGCAGGAAGAGCCAGAGGCCATGGGTGCATCAGGATCTGGCTCTGTCACTTAACTGAGGATTTTTTCTTGCTAGTGTCTGTGAAGTGTTCAGATGGCAGGACACGCTCCCTGGGCCAGGGGAATGCCACTAATGGAATTGCTACTTTATGTGTGGCACTGTATGGAGGCAGAGGTTTTAAAAACAAACAAAAAACTTTGTCAAATACAAAGTATATTATCTGCCCCTAGGTACTACTTGGGGCACTAGTTGCCCTATCCAGTTGGGGCTAAAAGACAAAAAAAATTGGAGGCAGCAAGGGGCAAGGCACACCGTTTTTAGAAGTCTTCCTCCTAGCCCCATATTTGAAATGTCTTGCCTGCCAGCCAGGGTGGGGTGGGGGGCCTGGGGGGAGCCATTAGGTAGCAGTGGACTGTCCTAGGCTGTGACTCTTTGGGCAGCTGAGGCGCTGTCTAAGAAAATGGGGTTTGCAGTGAGGCTGGAAGGTGGGTCTGGTGTGGGCTGCCGGCTGTGCGGGGAAACAGCGCCCTAAGCCTCACTCTGGCCAGCACGTTTGTGCCTTTGGCATCCCCGCTTCTCTGCCCATCTGTCTATCTCATGCTCCTCTCATTACCAACTGGCCGGTCCCCTCTGCACCATCTGGAGGAAGCTGGTTTGATCAGCTTAGGTAGCTCCCCTGGTCCCTATTGGCCAGGTCACCTTGGGGGACACTAGCAAACCCACCTATGGCCTCCTCTCGGTCAGATATCCACCCTGGTCCAGTCAGGAGCTGCTTCTCTGCAAAGAACATGCTGAGCAGAGGCTTTGGTTTGGGCAGTTCCAGCCAGACAAGGACACTGGGTGTGGCAGACACCACGATCATCATATCTGAGGTGCTGGGAAAAACCATGAGCTGCTCGCCAAGCTGTCGGCCCTTGGCTGGGAGGGGCCCCATCTTCCCTGACTCTCCTCTGGGGGCTCCAAGGTCTCTAGGAACCTCTGCCGAAGCTGTGTGGGGGTGGTTTGCTCGTTTCCTCACACCTGAGCGGACGCGTCCCTGTGCCTGGGGCAGGAAATGGGCTCTCCGTAGGGACCCTGAGGTGGCACCATCCAGGGTGATGCTCTGGGCTTGGTGGAATCATGAACTCTCAAGGGCCAAGGGGTTCCCTGAAAATGGGCTGCGGCGGGCTTGCCCCATGTGTGCCCACTGTGTCACTCCTAGATGCCTCCTAATACCAGAACAGGTGCGGGTTCTGCTGAGGCGTGGCAGAAGGTCCACAGCCTCGGAGAGTTGGGAAGCCACTGGTCGGGTGACGAGTACCCTGGGTAGGTTTTAAGGAGGCTGGTGTCCAGTTCTGGCTCAGCCATAAGATGTGGGAACATGCGTAAGTTACTTGGCCTCTCTGTCTCATGATGATAATCTCCACTCCTGCCTGCCTCGTAGGCTGGCCTAAGAACTGAGCGCTCTGGATTCCCTAGCCAGGGGCTGTGCTCTCTCTGTATGGTAATAAGCCTTGGGTGTGCTTCTGCCTAGAGATGGGCCTGATGGTGGTTCTTAAACTTTGCGTGCCTGAGATTTAGTAGGGCTGGGTGGGCCTGGAGAATTCGCATTTCTAACAAGTTCCACCTGATGCCGAGGCTGGAGGTCCAGACTTTGAGAACCACTGTCGTGGAAGCTGCTGTCAGAAGTGAGACCCATGGACCAATAGCATCAGCCTCACCTGGAGGCTTAATGCAGCATCTCAGGCCTCATCTACCACCTGCTGGACCAGAATCTGCATCTTGACACAATCCCCACAGATCTGCATGCACCTTAAAGTTTGAGAAGTGCTGCCTTAGAGGAGCCAGGATGAGAACACACTGGGCGGGGGGGATGGAGAATCTCTTCTTCCTGTTGATTCTGCAGATGGAACAGAGCGCGCGAACCTGGTAGGATGTGCACCCAGAGGGGCTGATGCGGACAGCTGAGGGCGGGACCTGGAAGGGAGAGAGAGAGGACTCCTCCCCAGGGAGGTGGAGAAATCAGGAAAATCTGAGGAAGTGAGGTGGGCCTCAGAGTAAAGGCTTCTTCAGGCGGCCGTCATTTTGCCCATCAGACGGGAACGGTATTCTCTTGAACCCCTTCAGCTGTGAGCAGGGCACACAGTGGGACCGAAGCCTTTAGTGGGGAGGACGGTAGCTGTGAGGAATGTGAGGGGTGCACACACATCGAATAAACAGTTTGCTGAGCAGCCGCGAGGGCCCAGCCGAGGTGACAAAGCATGAGTCTGCAGGCGACTGAACAAGGCCAGTGTGTTGACCGTCGCAATGCTCAGCAATGGCAAAAACCAGCAGCCACACAGGGAGGCGGCAGGGGCCACGGGTGGGCACAGGCCACGGCGGCCGGGGGGTGACTGGCAGGGCGGGCCCAGTGGAAGGTGCAGGCTGTGCGGGAGTAGGGAAGAGGAATAGACCCCACTGGGGATCCTTGGGCTGTTCATCTTTAAGTTTAAAAAAAGAGGCGTGGGGCCGTGGGAAGGGAGAGGAAAATCCCTCCGAAGTCATAGACTTTCTCTGTTTCTTCCTTAGGGCATGTGAAGAGACAAAATTGAAGCATTTGACTTCTCAGAGAGGTTAAAACACTTTATTGGGTGGTCAAGAGGGCTAGGTTACAAGATGGTGGGGGTGCTGTGAGCCCCCAGAATTCCCCAGCCTGGATTCCTGGATTCCTGAGGGAGGAGGGGGAAGGAATCCAAGCCTAGCTCTCACGCCCAGGGTAGTTGTGTATCCTCCTGTCTGTCCTGCCTCTTCTAACAGCCTGTATTCCTTCTCAGGGAGGGTTTCCCAGGGCTGGGATCCCCCCACCCAGCTCAGTCCTTCTCTGGGACCTACAGAGGGACGGGGTCCCCAAGTATAGGTAAGGCCTCTATGCCTAGTTAGCATACAGGTGCCCATCATTCCCTCAAGAAACAGTGAAGGGGTGCATGGCTGCGGCCTCACACAGGCCTCTGCTCTTGCTGTGCCGACCTCGGGCTGGCTATCTCACCCCCTGGGCCTTTGTTTCCTTCCCACTAATCTCTGAGGGCAGGGACCATATGTCATTTTTGCCACTGCGCAGGGCACAAAGTAAGTTCCCGTAGAAGTTTTAGGAATAAAGGGAGCAGAACCCTCTATCTCCACCCCCACCCCAGCCCCCTTGCTGCCACTTTGCACGAGGCACCATCCGTGACCAGACTTGCTGGGCTAGTGTGAGGATGAGCTGGTTTATTATAAAATGAACAAAATTGCTGGTTCTCCTGGGAAGAAGGCACTGTAGCGTGAAAAAAACCCAAGAATTTCTTCATTCCCTTCTATGCCAGGTATTGGGGAGAGGCAAATTCTTGACAACTGTTTGTCTAGGGAGGGCGTGAGCGTGCTAATGCCCCCGCCAAGGCCAGGTGCCCCCTCCTCGTTTCGCTCTCCTCTCTGCACCTCTCGGCAGACCGGGAGGAATGACTGCCAGGCACTGTCCATTTGGAAAAGTACAGCTCCATAGATAGGAATCAGCGTGGGCAGGCAAAATGATTCACATCCGACCAATTCAGTTTAGTTCAGGTTGTTCGTTCTGAACCTTGTCTCCCTCTAATTAAATGATGATTGGTCTCGACGGTAAAAGGGAAGAGCCTGAACTTAATCTGTCTGAATTTGTGGAAAGCTGGGGACAGGATGGATAAGGGCAGATGTATTCCCACTGGCAAAGAACCAATGCCCAGGTGGAGTGTCAGCCGTGGGAGGAATTCTAGCACCTTTGGGGTCTTCAGGGACTATGGTCCAGAACTCTGCCTTTCCCACGTTCTCCACCTGCAAACTGGTTAATGATGCCCATTCCTGACTTGTCTCTAAGGAGTACACGGAGACTTAAGCTTAATTAACCTACTAGACACAGTCTTGAATCACTGGGCAGTGACCGGCATAGTCAGAGCTGGGGAGAGGCGCGGTGATAAAACCTCTCGGCTCATCTCCCCGTCATCACTGATTCAGGCCTGTGTGCTGCTGGTAGTGCTGACTGCTCTTGCTGCAAATTTCCCCAAATATGTTTCTGCCCTGCACTGGTTTGCCAAATCCTTACGTGCCCCATGTCCCACGGCAGCTGAGCTCCTCACGCCTGCGACCTGTTTGTCTTCCTGTCCCTCCCCAACAACACGCTGTGCCACTGCCTCTTCATCTGGTCCTTGGCATCACTCACAAGCTCCTGCTGTGACCAGGACACTACTGGGGCATGATGGGAGCTACAGTCGACTGAATGGCCACCAGGTGCCAGGCACTTCTCAGCAACCCTCTGAAATGACTGGTAATGACCCATTTTACTGATGAGGAAATGGAGGCCCAGAGAAGCAAGCTGCCTAGAGTCATAGCTGTGAGTTCAGTGGCCAGAATTCAAGCTCAGGCCCGACTTCAAAGCCCAGGCTCCCAGCAAACAGCAGTGCCCCCCCACAGTAAACCAGTTAGTCAACAACAGATCACCAGGCCCTCTCCATGGTGGCCCATCATACACACCACAGTGGGAAACGGTCCTCCTCTCTCCAGGGTCCCTGTGCCTTCCCCACATTCATGACAGCACTGTAACCCCTCCTGTTAATAAGGCAGAGAGAGAGAAAAACTCAGGCCCATGAGGTGGATCGCTGTTCCTAGGAATTAGACTTCCAGGAGGGATTAATACAGTGGCTCTCTCTGGAGGTTAACTAGGAAGATGTCACATGTGAGTGAGACACATTTGGGGCTAAGCGAGGCAGCGATGGAGTGGATTCCCCTGTATTCCCTCATATTCACTCCCTGTGCCCCCGAGCCCTTTACTGCTGGCAACTTGCAGCTCAAGGAGGAAGGGAAGCCCCATTCAGAGCACCAGACACTTCCTCAGGGTCAGTTTTGGGTTCAAGGAGGCCCTCACCTCATGCCGTCTTCCTGCCAAATTCAACCAAAGGAGATCCCTTCAAGTGTGAGTGCCCTGGGCCTTCCTGGTCAGTTTGCGGAGGGTTCTCAGTCCCTAACTCTCTTGCTCTCTTCCTCCATCCAGGTGTTGACTTTAAGATGAAGACCATAGAGGTAGATGGCATCAAAGTGCGGATACAGATTTGGTGAGTTGGGTGGGAGGAGAGGACCTTGGGCTGCTCTCTAGCTGCCACTGTCATGTGTAAAATCCTGAGGCTTCACCTGGGACAACTGGCCACCTGTTGGATGGAGAGAAATGGAAGTCTCAAAGCCCATCTCCTGCTCCCATGAGCCTTAGGCTCCAATCTCGTCTAAAGAAACTTTATGGGACTGACCACAAGTCACCAAAAGGCAGGAACTAGAGGAATTGGCAAACTAACTACTGTGGGTTTGTCTTAGGATTAGGCTTTGTGCTGGGGCTGTGCGGCCTCGTGGTGGGATTGGAAGGAGGAAGGGCCACACCACATCGGTTAGGGTGGGACGCTGGTGCGAGTTCCTCAGGGCAGCATGGTGCAGTTCCCACAAGTGGCCACAGGGGGCCGCTGTGGCTCTGGCCTGCTGCTCCTGGACGCCCTGCATTTGCCAGCTGTGGCGCTGCCTCCCGATTTCAAAGTGATATGGGCATTGCCTTCAGAGGTCCCATAGGACCTGGAGGTGGAACAGTCCAACCACTCTGGCCAAATTCTAGAGAGAGTTGTCAAGGCCCAGTGATGGTTGTGGCTTCTGGTGCGGATGTAGTTGACAAGGCCCCACAAGCCCTGTCAGCACCAGATGACCAGGAATCTCTTCTGCAGAGCCAGGTATGTTCAGATCCCCTGAGAGACCAAAGCTCCACTGGTTTTTCACCCTACAGCTCCCCAGTCTTCCCTGCATGGGCACAGGGTCTCCCAGCTCCTGCTCCTCCCTTCTCACCTGCTTCTGTGGTCCCTGCTCTTCTGAGGGACTGGCTTTCTACTGCAGGGACACAGCGGGGCAGGAGAGATATCAGACCATCACAAAGCAGTACTACCGACGGGCCCAGGTGAGCCACCATTTTCAGGGGTCAGAGGCGGGATGCTGCCGTCCACACTCCTAGCTCCGGGTGTTTGAGATATCTGTGCCACTCACCCCCAAAATAGGGCCCTCGGACTGCCTGCTGGGGAGGGGAGCCTCAGGGCAGCCTTTAGGTTGTTCATGGACCATTCATTCATCAGTTATTCTCTGAGCACTCACTCCAGGCAGGCCCCCACCCTCACCCTCCATCCATCCTGGGCCAAAGACCCAAGTCCAAGTATTTGGTGCCTTCCTACCTCTGAGTTCTGTGGTGGGCCTAGGAAGCAATAGCTTTGGGAGCCTGAGACAGAAGAAGTGCTGGGTGCTGAGGGGTCCTCATTGTGCTAAGCAGAAAGCAGGGAGAGTGGGACCCAGTATTTAGGCGCCACACCCACTTCTGGCCCCACGCCTCTGTGCTATCCCTGTGCGCACCCCTCCCCCATCTTTCTCTCCCACCCTCTCTCCGCACTCTCTCTCTCTCTCCCGCTCTCTCCCCCAGGGAATATTTTTAGTCTACGACATTAGCAGCGAGCGCTCTTACCAGCACATCATGAAGTGGGTCAGTGATGTGGATGAGGTAGGAGATGCCGCCTCACTCTCGGGGTGGGGGAGGGCACCTCAGCGGGGAAGGCAAAGGGAGGGCCAGATGGGAAAGGTCGAAGCCCTTGGGGTTGGGGAGCAAATGCTACCTGGAAGGCTTGCCCTCCCTGGCCCCGGATGAAGAGCTCTGGGTCATACGACATGGGGAAGACGCCCAAGCTGCCATGCCCTCCCATGCTCTGTACCCTGCCAGGCTCCCATCGCCATTTCTGCCCCAGAGATGAGTTAGGCCTAAGCCTACCCTGTGAACAGCTTCTTTCCCGAAATCTCAGGACTGCTGGGATTCTCGTCCTGGCTCTGCTGTGGCAGCTATGGAGCCTGGGGCAAACCATTTGAACTCTCTTGCATCCACAGTTTCTTATCTGTAGAATGAGGGCTTGGTCTTAAGGCCAATGTCTTTTCCAGCTCAGATACCAGTGGCCCATTCCAAGGAAGCATTCCATCATCTAGGGTGGGGCACTGGGGAGAGTTCCTCAGAATTAGAGTGTTTCCTGCCCTAAGCTGTCTCCATGACACTCCCTGGGGTCAACCATGGTTCTTGGGTGAGCCCGGCACCTGCACCCCGTCAGCCCACTCTGTCCTAGGGCCCTTAGGTTTGGTGCTGTTGTGGATGCCAGTGTAGACTGTGTGGTGGGGAGACAGGAGGGAAAGGTGGCACTCACTGGTGGTTCTGCCTGTCCTTTGTCTGTAGTATGCACCAGAAGGTGTCCAGAAGATCCTTATAGGAAATAAAGCCGATGAGGAGCAGAAACGGCAGGTGGGACGAGAGCAAGGGCAGCAGGTAAGTGGGAGGGAGTTGAATGGATCCTCCCCTGGGGTTTTCTGCTGGCGTCCAGGGCCAGTCCTGAGAGCTGGGACCCAGGATTCTGTCACCCCCATCAGCACCCTCACACCTCCTGTGGTAGGCTAAGGCACTGGGTGAGTCGCCCTCTGTGAGGGTTGGCTTTCTACCCTTCAGGACAGTGATTTGGGGTCCATCCTCATACAAAGACCTCTTAGGAAGCAACTCTCCCAGCTCCAAGTCCCCCAGAGCAAGATTACCTCTGCTTAAGAGCTCACCCCAGTGTTAGTGATGAGGAAGGACCTCAAGTTGCTGACTTCGTCTCTCACAGCATCCAGGCATAGCTGTCCTCTCATAGTCATCCGCCCCGCCACACCCACTCCCTGTCTTCCTGCCACTGGGAAAGAGGTAGGAAGGCATGTGAGGAATGAAGGGCCCATAATCAGAGAAGCCATGGGAGCAGAGAGGGTGGGAGGGTGGTGGCGAGGGGATGTCCAAGCACGAAGGGAGGCCGTCCTCCCAGAAGACAGAAGGACAGATAGTGCTAGGACAAAGAGTCGTCCATCCACTCCAAGGGCCTCAAGAGCTTTTTCCTACCTCTCCAGTCAATAGCATTCCTCTAGCACTTAAGATAAAATTGATTTTTTTATATTAAAAAATAATAGTCATAGAAGAATCTGAAAGTAGAAGCAGACCCTACTGGAATAATAGTATTTATTGAACACCGTATGTCCTGAGCAAGAGCTCTGAGATGCATGACCTCAGTTAGTCATTCCACAACCTTGGTTAATAGACGCTGTCGTCCCCCATCAACAGGTGGCAGAGCTGGGGCTTAGAGGGAATAAGTGTCCTGTCCAAGGCTGTACAGCTGTCAAGGGGCAGCACTGATTTTCGAGTCTGGGCCTCTTTGCCTCCAAAGCCCATGTTTTTCATTAATTTGCCATATCGCCGCAACGTTTGGGTGTCTTTGTCTCCTGATATATGATGTATGTTGGGTGTGTATGTGACCCTGTGCTAGCCTCTGTCTTAGAAGGAGCTCTCAGCCTCATCTGAGAAGTCATCTACTCTGAGAATTGTCCCCACACAGCATGGGCTGTGAGGGCAATGGCAGAAATATGTGCAAGTGCTGTGGGCACCCCCTTCCCCCACTGATTCCCTTTCAGGAATGTTCTTCTCTTGCAGCTGGCTAAGGAGTACGGCATGGACTTCTATGAAACAAGTGCCTGCACCAACCTCAACATCAAAGAGGTGAGGCTGAAGCCCAGCCGCCCTGTGTCCTCGGCTGGGTCTGGAGTGGGAAGCAAGAGGAGAGGGTGGCAGANCACAGCATGGGCTGTGAGGGCAACGGCAGAAACATGTGCAAGTGCTGTGGGCACCCCCTTCCCCCACTGATTCCCTTTCAGGAATGTTCTTCTCTTGCAGCTGGCTAAGGAGTACGGCATGGACTTCTATGAAACAAGTGCCTGCACCAACCTCAACATCAAAGAGGTGAGGCTGAAGCCCAGCCGCCCTGTGTCCTCGGCTGGGTCTGGAGTGGGAAGCAAGAGGAGAGGGTGGCAGATAGGAGCCGAGATAAGATGAGACCTCGCCCCTTGGGCAGTTACAGGGGTGCAACAGGAAGAAGAGGAAACGCTGGACTAACTCGTGCCCCTTGGTTTATTTCCAGTCTTTCACGCGTCTGACGGAGCTGGTGCTGCAGGCCCACAGGAAGGAGCTGGATGGTCTCCGGACACGTGCCAGCAGAGAGTTGGCATTGGCAGAGCTCGAGGAAGATGAGAGCAAACCTGAGGGCCCAGGGAACTCTTCAAAAACCTGCTGGTGCTGAGGGTCCCGTGTGGAGCACCCACAAATCCCCTGCCCCTCAGGAGGCCTGTGGGCTGACAGGGANCTGCTGGTGCTGAGGGTCCCGTGTGGAGCACCCACAAATCCCCCGCCCCTCAGGAGGCCTGTGGGCTGACAGGGAGCCTGGGCTGTGCCCTGCTTCTCTCATTTGGGTGACCCTGTGGAACATCTGCAGCTGCTACTCCCCCTGCCCGGCCCTGAGAGCAGCTCCACTGTCACCTCTGAGCAGCCTCTGCCCCCAGCCCCTCCCCCGGAGGGGTGTCCTTCAGCCCCTTTCCCCAGCCGCAGGCCTGCTATGAGCCCCGATGTGCCACGAGCACACTCACCGCCTGAGCTCCCCAGACAACAGCGTCTGGAGTCAAGGCCTCTTTAAGGCTCCTTCTCAGTGCATCTGTCTCCTGTCTGCATTTTCTCTTCTCTTTCTGTCCCCTCATGNTTTCTGTCCCCTCGTGCCCTTTGCCCTGTGTGTCCTGCTTTGTGGCTGCTGGTGCAGCCTGTTTCTTTCCTTTCTTCCCAACCCTAGCCAAGGGGATGGACTCCGGCTCGTGGGGATGCTCCTTCTCTGCTCCTGGGAGAACCCCACCCTGCTTCGTGGGTGGGCCAGAGGCGGTGGGGTGCTTCTTCCTGTCCTTCCCTCCCCACCGTCCCTCTTGTGCCATGAGCCCGCCTCACCAATGGTCTGGGGACGGGGAACAGCAGGTAGGAAGGAAACACCCCACGTGGTCCTCAGCCAGGGGCTGCCCTACCTCTCCCTGCCTGCCCCCCAGCTTTGGACTTGCTTGGCTACCTGCCCACCTGCCTCTTGGGGACCTGAGCTCGGAGGCACCTGAGGTGCTTCAGAGAAGAAAAAAATGATAAGGGGATAAAAAGGCGCCTCCATTCTCTACCTCCCATGCAGCCTGTACACAGTTTCTCCCCGCCCGGGCTCCTGAATTAAAGACGTGAACTGAAGCCTGAGGGCACTGCAGGGGTGAGGAGAGCCCTGGGGGGAGTGATGGGCAAGCCAACCGCGTACTCCAGGAAGAGGAGCCTTTGGAAACCAAGGACTGGTTCCTGTATTTCAGGTTAGGAGCAAGGGAGAGCAGGCCAGGGACAGCAGTTTGCAAACCAAAGGGGACTATGGGCTCCCCGGGCCCACCTTCTAGTTCTTGTATGAGAAAAGCATTTCCCCACAGCTCCCTGGCAGGGGAGAGGTGGGCCTCCACTGCCCCCAGCCTTCAGCTCACGGTTTTCCCGAGACCCACAGTTTGTGGGAGAGGAGCGGGGACTTCATGGGAAGAAAGGAAGCAGGCCCTGGAGGGATGCTCGGTGCTGTTCTCTCAGCCTTCAAGACAAAGTGCTCACCTTGCCCCTCTGGCTCCTGGAGAGAGGCTTGAGGGTTTGCCGACTGCACTGTGGCCACAGGCGGAGGGAAGAAAACTCCTCCAGAACTCTCTGTTCAGGAGGAAGGGCTTTTTAACCCCACGTGGCCCAAGAGGAGCTTGAAGAAGGCCCTTTAAGGAAGGGACAAGTTAGTTACCAGCCCTTGTAGGCTCCTGCCCACCTTCCTCAGCAGGAGGATCTTTCTTAAGCTACATATTAGCCACATCACATGGCTGGGCCTGGAGCTAAAACGAACAACTGAGCACTGAGCATTCACCAACTGAGGGCCCAAATCCAGGGCACACCCATGTGAAGGATTAAGAGCCCCACTTCCTTACTCCAAAAGGGGTGGGGGGATGGACTCTCTAAACCTTTCCTCCAGACTTTTAGCAAACCAGGAGACAGGAGAGGGTGGCTCAGGATGTAGGAATGGGGGTAGGTTGGCACAGTGGAAGGAAAAGGAAGGCGGGAATAGTTCTAAGTCGGCTAATGAGAAATTTAGAGAGCTGACTCTCAGGTGAAGTGGTGACTATGGCTAGAGATGCTTCCTTGAGGACTGAGCCTGGGGGCGGGGGGG